AAGGGAGGACCCGCCATTGACATTTTTTTACTATGCAAATTTTTCAAGCAAAAATCCTTGAAAAAAACATGTATCCCTTCCTTTTCGCGCGGAATTCCTGCGATTTCGTTGTCCAGCCAAGAGGAAGAACCTAACTTTCCAAGTTGCGACGTGCGCGCGAGGGATGCGCAGTGGGCAACAGGTCTTCCGGGCCGGCACGTGTCCCGAGCTCTCCTAGGCGTCGCTGAGAGTGGAGTTAAGAGTCGCGAGGTGAGATCACGACTCGGTGAGTCAGATGGCGCCGATATGTGCGCGTGCGCTCCCCGACGCGGGCAAATATTTGGGCGTACACGCGCGAGAGTGCCTGCACCTCGCCCACCTAAACCTACACCTCGCGATTAAGGTGTCGGGGTAGATGTCTACGCCAGTAGATTCCCCAACGTCGACAGATCGAACGTAAATGCGCCGGTGTAGGTGGATCCATCCGGCAAGGTGGAGGAGTGCCTCGCATACGTAGGTGTAGGTGTAGGTACATCGGGTAAAGATGTGAACGACGACCTAAAAGACTCCTAGAAATTAATTTTTAGACATTAATAAGCTTCTTCGAAAATTAAATGAAAATGTCAATCGACCCGACTCGACTCGAGATCCGGCTAGGGAATTACGGAAGGCAGAGCCTGGGAGTTAAATGGGAGCGGGGAGGGTGGCGCTCTAATTACGTTAACGATATAAACGACGACCCGGGCTGAAAGTGCGGCACGGTACACGGCGAATAACGATGGGAACCACCTCGCGGAGTTCCCACGCATTTTCTTCGTTTTTCTTTTTTCTTTCGCCCTGACCCTGACGCGATCAGAACTCGCCCTGAGAAGATGCCAAAGAGGGAAAATTCGGCCGGGAGAGGAGCTCTCCTCGACCTGGCCCGGAATGAGGAAAGTTTCCCCTAAAGTCCCGGAACTCTCGGCAAAGTTCCTAGGAAAGTTTCCGGGGGCCCTAGGAGGCCCGCGTCTTCCGCGGAGTCAACTCGTATTTCAAGGGAGCTTTTCTCGCCTCTGGAAACGTCCCGGGACGAGCAGCAAGGGCTCTTGTATTTTACATCCAGTTTTTGCATTTCGCCTTTTTCTTCCTTCTCCTCGAACAAATGTCTCGAGACTTGACCCAAGCTTCTCTCGTAATTTCCATTTTACTCTCTCTTTCCCTTACGAGGGGAAACGAGCCGCGTAAGCCTCTGGTTAACACCTTTCGTTAGCATCTTATCTCCTCGTTTTGTCGCGTTTCGAATTTTTTTTTTCCTGTAAGTACCGAAGTGCTCGGTAAAAAAGAAACTTGAAAAACTCCCGAAATTCATCGCCCATCGTTAATCTCCCGATCGAGTTCTGGAGTTAATCTCTCCTCTTAACGACCCGGAAGCGAAGGAGGGGTATATTTGCATTAAAGCCCAGAAGAAAAAGTCACGGTTTAAAAACCCCTCCCTGAGTCTATCGCGATATCGATGATCGATACTCTCTGGGGTCTATCAAACCCGCCCAATTAATTCCCTTTATGAACCCCCGGCAGCAGAGCGGACTCTTGCATAAAATCGCGACTCACCCCTAAAAATGGAATCCCATTTCCAGGATCGGCGAGTCCTTCAGGAATTCGAGAAAAAAGGGCCAGTCGGGCCCACCGAGACTTCTCCCTTAGGATTACCAATTTCCGGCAACGAGCAAGTCTCGAAATGCCCCCCTTCTTTAATCCCGGATCCAATCAGCCTCGCCCCCCTTTCTTTAATATCCAAATTGGAATTATTCCCTGAACGATCGGCGCTCAATCTGGGCCCTAATAAACCCGGGGGGCTCTTCTCTCGTTGGGCCCCTCGAAACGCCGTTTCTTGTCCGGTGAATTAAGTCGTAACGAAGCGTGGGGGAAATAAAACATCAATAAGGGTAAAAGGAATGGACAAAAATTAAGGATGCCCCTTTTTTAAGGGACGGCTTACAAGGAGGGGGATCCGATTGGCATCGATTGATTTTCGCAGGGCATATTTCTGCCATCCGTCAGTTTTCTGCCAACAAGTTTTTGACTTTACTGATTTTTGCTACCCATTTTGGCACCCTTTTGATCTTTCTCACCTGTCGAATTTCGATCATATGGACTGTCATCACCGACCAGGTGTTAAATTGGTTCGGTGTCGCGAGTGCCGCGATAATCTGAAAAGTTTAATCCGCACCCCCCTTTTCCGCCCTGAAGGAAGGCGCCATCTTTTCCGCCCGTCCAATTAAATCCTCCCGTCGAACGAGTTTTCCCCGTATATTTCCAGACTGGGATTCTCGGGGAAAAATCGTAAACTCGAAACTTTTGCGTCTTCCTCCCTCCTTAGGGAGAATTATCGGCGAAGTACGTGGGGGCAGGAAGGGCCATTAAATTTGAGCGTTATTACCGGCTGAATTGGCCCCCTGAATCTGACCCCCCACTTTTCGGTGACAAAAAGGTGGAAAATTGAAAGAAAAATTTTGGAATATTTCCAATCACAATGGACCGCTGTCGGGTTAGATTAACGCCCAATTTTCTCACCCCTTTGGGTATCGTCAAGGCATTATTTATTTGCAAAGAAATTTTTAATCTATTTCCTGCAGGGGAATTTATTACTGGTACTCCCTGGAATTGAGATTACGCTGAAATTGTTAAAAAGAAAAATTGAGGGAGGTCATTTATCGAGGTTTCAATGAATAACGAGACGTACCAGTTATTCATTACGGTGTTGCGGAAATGATCAGCGATTCGTTCGCCTTTGTGGGTGGGGATATTTTATAGATTTTTTGCAGGCAAGAATGCGGATTTTTCGCCAGATATTCGCGGGGTCTAATTGAGTAGCGGAACCGCAGCTCGTATCGAACGGTTATTCCGAATACGCAAAACCGGACTCGGCGCCATTATCGATGTGTAATCGGATATCGATGCGCTTTGCGGGAAACGCATTTGTTCACCGAACAAGACCTGAAACCGCGAGTTACCTAGGACCACGGTTTCCCTTGCCGCGTATATAAACTCTATACATTTTGTCAACCGTGTTAAAAGCACCTTTCCGGTGATAAAAAAACATCCATTGAACCAGCGAAATGTTTCTTTGATTAATTATTTTTTTCTCAGCGTAGTCATTTTGCCCTTTTCCCACGATGCGCAGCAAAAGGGAGCTCAAAGATAAAAAAGCGAGTAGATCCGACGACGAATTAAAAAAGTTTTATTGAATCTCGCTGTAATATTTTTCCCGTGAAATTCAGGGTGTGCATTGTTGCAATTAATTATGAGAAATTAGGTTGTCACGGGCCAGGAGTTTAACTCGATCGAGGTAGCAACCTAATCATACAGAGTGTACGGCACGACATGGACCACTGGGGTCAGCATTTCCTGAAGATCAAAGGAGCCCGACCCGCCTCGTATCTCCCGATACATGAATTCTCTTTTGCCGAATTGCTCGTAATTTCCCCCCTAATGCCGCAATTATTAATTAACTACCCGACCACTACCCGACTATCATCGGCGCCCTTCGCGCTCGGTAAAATCGGCAATAATTATTATAACGAGTATCGTGTTCTTGGAGGATCGCGAGTTGAAACTTCCTCTGAAAATGCCAACAATAGTTCTAGAATTATTTGAGTGAAATTTTACGCGTGGAATTATTTGCGAGTTATTATTATTAAAAATTCCATGTAATACGGAATAAGCCAGGTCGAGGGTACACGATATGCCCTTAGAGACTGCTCGAAGAGTATGGATTAATATTCTCGCCGTGATTTCCGAAGATTCCAGAAATTCCAATATTCGGAATCCGATATCAGCGAGAAACTCGAATAGGCATCGATGAGTTTCGAGGTTCCCCTCCCGCCGGTCGTATCTCTCCCCTGGACTGATAACTCGCTGCCTCGTTCCGCAAAATTCACTTCCGCTCCGATGATCCGGCTATCGGGATACTTCCGGGTCTGGTCTGAGCTTAATTCGATTAATCGCTCAAAATGCATGGACACTGACCAGAGTCAACGCGCCGAGCTTCGCCAGGCAAGAAACGCCCTCCGCCCTGGTAAATAAAATCGACAAATAATGAAATCCACGGTAATGATCTTGAAATAATTTCTTGCAGGGGCGGGAATTTTTTGTAAGAATTTTGCGTTCCGAAAAATCCAGCAGGAATCGAGCGGCCGACCGAATCGGGCGTCGCGCTTCGGCACAGGCTTAATTCGATTAGGGTGCGAGCCGATCGCGCGGGGTGGACACGGACCACTACCCCGGGGGTCAACACGGCGCATTTCCCGGACAAGGGATGCTGCCTGGAGCATTATCGAAACGACATGCTCGCTCGTTACGCGTTGCTCCAATCGAGGGTGACGTCCGCTCCGACGGGGTGGCTCCGTGTTCCCGGAATCGAGTTACACAGGGACCCTCTCCATTTTATGCAACCCTTTCGGTAAAAGAGGGCGCCAAAGTAAACTCTTTTTTCGAGATAAAGTAGAAACGATTAAGAACAATTCCACTTGCGTCCTCGCACCTGCCGGGCCTTTTCTCAACAGTCGAGGGCTGATATCAAAGGTAAATGACGAGACAAGAGCGCCTTTGCCGCCGATTTCGCCCGGCACGCGCCCGGGTGCGCCCGAATGCGGATACCTGCAGCTTGCACCTGCACCTGCGAGCAGGTACACAAGGCACCCGGTGTCTCGTGCATCCCTCTCTCGTGGCCCGACCCTCGGTAGTCTGGCATTCAGCTATTATCGCCCAGGGAGCGCCATGGCGGAACGCCCGATAACGAGTCGCCGCGTCCGCCCGGGCGGCGTTTCCGTCCTGGGCGGGAATCGGCCTTCCGCGACCTGCGATTTGCTTTCATGGCACTCCCGAGGGAACTCTCGCCATTCCGAATTGTTTACTCCTGCGATCGCGGGCACAAAGTGAGATTTCCTGCTAAATTCGGATTTTCCAAAATTCTGGAATAACGCCACTGTCGAGGGAGATTTTTTAATGGTTTCTTAATATTTCCTTTCCTTTTTTCTCAGATGAGTGGCAAGAGGACCAGAAGCTTTAAATGCGCGGTGCATCATCGGGATCGGGAGGTCTGCTCGGAGAACGACTTCCATCTTCTCGTCCACGAGCCTCCCCTGTTCCGCAGGTAAATCACCTCGAATTCCCCTTCGATATCCCTGTTCAAAAATGCGCCAAATGGAAATTAAGGACCAAATCAAATCGAATAAAAGAAAATTGGATTAACGATATCCTTCCTGGAATTTGAAAAATCGGGAATTTCGAATTTCACGGCAGATCTCTTCCAACTCGCCCGTCGCCTTCGAGATAATCGAGCACCGGCGAGCCAATCAACAGTCGGCCACCCCTCGTGTACCTAGAGCAAGTACGTACCCTTCTGTACATTTACAAGTGCACACATCCACCCTCGGAAATCGATGGCCCGACTCGGAATCGATTGTCTCCCCCGCGCGAGTACTCGGGCCGGGTTTTTAACAACGTCCCGGAAAACGTGACCGGGCTCCCGGATGGTTCTCCCTCGGGCTCGGCCTTCCCGGATTTCATTGCAAATTGAATATACTTTCCGCTAGATAACATATATATATCTCATAGTCTTCTTATTTTACGCTTACACGTTTTTTCTCCCAAAGTATGCTACAAATTAAATTCACAATCGCGAGTACCTTGAAAAAAAAAAAAAAAATAGCAAATTCAGCTGAAATTATATTTTCTCACCTATACATTTGCAGGTGAATTTCCTTCTTTTTTTCTCAGGGTATCTAATGTTTCAATTGACGATTATGAAATTTTCCCTCCTGAATTTCCTACATATCCCGAAATAAAAATCATCGGTATTCTTCGCGTAGAAGTCCTAAGTGCACGCACCCCTGTCGGCATCCCCAGGGACGGGGGCGGTTTTAAGGATATCCCCGAAAACGTGAGTGGCCTCCCAACTCGAATGCACTCGAATTCGCCCGCTGGCCATTCATAAATAATTCATTGTATCGCATCCCGGGACCGGAAGTGCGGAAGGAACTGCCTTCCAGGACGTACCCTTCCCCTCCATGGGGGAATCTCGACTCGCCGAATTCCTGTGCACCCCAGATAAGAGAGGACCGCACCTCTGGACTCTGCAAATAAAATATCGTCCCGTGTTTGCGAGACATACCAACCCCTTTAGGGGATGGGGTACGACGAGGGAGGGTGGGGGAATTCCCCTAAAAATATGGACGTTATTCCAGGCAGGTACGAAGAGAGGCACATGCCTCGCATTCGGCGCTTGCCTCTTCAGCGCTTCGAGGGGGTGCATCGGGGTGCACCGGGATGCACCTTTTTCGGAATCCTTCACCAACATCCATCATGTCGGAGATGGCGAAGGCGATGAAGGTGATGGAGGTGCCGTGGGGGTCCTGCCCCTCACCGGGGGTGGAAACTACCCCTCTTGCATTCGGAAGCCTGGTCGCGGCCGATTGCGCGGCTCGCCGGGAATTCGGAATTTCTGCCCAGGGGAAACGTTCGAGGGGAAAGTGCCTGGGATGAAAGTTGCACGGAAAAGCCTTGGGAACAAGTTTTGTCCGAGGGAGTTTTCGATAAAACTTGTTGTCAACGCGGAAATCCAAATTCGGGGAGTGGGTGTCGGGGGGCGGGTCGTACGGCATGGAAATCAGGCATTTCCGCCCAAAGGAAGCTTCGCTCGAAGAAATACCCCCGGAAAAACTTGAAGACGATGAAGTAACCGACAACTTTTATCTGGAGTTATTTTCCGTATCTCGTACCGTTTACAAGTTATTCCCGGATTTTTATTTATTTTCCCATTGCCTACCTCTCCGATTCGAGAAAAAAATGAGTAAAAAATTAGTTTCCGGAAGGGATCGAGGATTTCATACCGAGAGAGATATATACCCCCTTGTGAAGGATAACCAAGGAGGTGGCACGGTCTTCTCCCGGGCTCAAATTTTAGGGGTTGAAATTCCCAATTTGTAACAGGAACATAGGATAACCAAAGAGGTGGCACGGTGTTCCTCCCGAGCAAAAATTTTAGGGGTTGAAATTTCCGATTTCTAACAGGATCATAGGACAACCGAGGAGGTGGCACGGAGTGTCTCCCGGGCAAAACTTTTAGGGGTTGAAATTTCCGATTTCTAACAGGATCATAGGACAACCGAGGAGGTGGCACCGAGTTTCGTGCCTTAGATCTACGAGCGATTTTCAAGGATCAGGAATAGGCGATTAGAGGGTTTGCCAGACATGCTCGTCTAATTAAACGTACTCATTGTTATTGTTTAATAAGTTGCTTTATTACATTAATTATTTTACAGTTTATTATACATCAGGTGCCGCAAATACATAAGTTCTCCAGCTCGTTTTTTACGTTACCACCACCAGGCTGCTTCATGTACACGAGGAAGCCATTCATGACCGCCAGTGTACGTTCGAGGGAGAGAATTAAAGCAGTAATTTTTTAATACGGTTCGTGGGATAAATAGTCATGAATTCGAGGGAGAAAATGAAAGTTTTAATTCGAGGTGGTGATTTTCTGAGCTCGGATCGAGTTTTCCAGGCACCCGGGAGACCTCGCGAAATTCTGGAAACGTTGGCTGTATATCACTCGGAAGTCATATACAAACCATGCCAGGGAATGTATAGTTCCTGTTAACTAACTTCTACGAGTATACGCGAGTCCCATCTCGGGCCGGATCGCGAAACATTTCGACAAACCCAATTTCCATGTTCGATCCTTCGCCACGGAGCCATTATGAACTTTGGTCATTCGTTAAGTACTAAACCGCGATACATGCCCACGAGCGATAAACTATTTCGGCTGACGGTAATTATATGAAATAAAAAGATAAAAAACGAATAAGACGTGAAACGGTTACGGGAGAGAAGTACAAAGTACGCGAGAACGAGGTACTCGAGTTAACCCGAAAGTATACATCAAACGAGTTACCGGCCAGGACGTCGGAGAGTAAAGACGTGTATCGTAACGAGTTACTCCCGGAGATAATTACGGAAAAGTGGGGTACACTCGGGGACGCATCGTTCACCACAGGCGGCTTTTAAACGACCGTAGCAAAATGAAGGGTCTTTAGGAATTACGGTGCGCCCGACCCTCTCATTTCCTGAAACGCCGTGCCCGTCCCTCCGCCTGGTGAAACCTGTCAACCCTGGAAAATCGCGCATAAAACTCTCACAAGGGAAGTTCGCGACACCTCCGACCCCTCGAAACCCCGAGTGGAAAACCAGGCCTCACCCCGCACAAACTTTGAAACCGGAATAATCCACACGCGAGAAGTCTCCGAAGAGCAACCCGCGATGCGCGAAGCATCCCCAAAACGCTTAACGCCACAGCTCGCGGCCGAGTGCGCGGTCCGCGTGGCGTGTCGCTTATATACCCCGAGCCGCCGGAGGGGCGCGCGCGTCGATTGGCCGCCGGCTTCCCCCACCACCCGGCGCGCCACGAGCTCGGCCAATGGGGGCCGCGCCGCGGCGGCTCCACCGCGTGTGCACCCACGCCCGGTGGCTCGTGGCATTCGGCCGCGGCGACTGCGGCCAGTCACTCGCTCGTTCGCTCGCTCGCACGGTCGCCTCGGTCGGTCGGTCGGCGATCGGTCGATCGGTCGGTCACTCGGTCGCCTGAGGTGCGCGTTCCCTCGCCTCCCGAGGAGTCTGGACTCCGGCCGCGGGCGCCGACCGCCCCGGCACCATGTGCGTCGCGACGCCGAAGGGCGCCGACAAGGTCCCGAAGGAGCGCCCTGCCCCCCCGAGGACCGTCCCCAGGCCAGGATTACCCCCCGCGGGTCCGGACCCCCCCAAGCCGCCGCACGCATCCATTGTGTAATTATCATAATATTCTCCATAATATTCAACGAGTCGACACGTGACGACGCTCCGGCAAATCCCCGAAGAACTCGCGTTAACCTTGGACCCGGTGACCCAGGGTTTGTTTTCTAAAATGACTGCGGGAATGCGATAAGGGGCCAAGGATTTTGGGATCTGGGCGAGGAGCGTTTACCGTGGGTGTGGTGAGGAAAATTCTGGGATTTCGGGGAACGTCGGAATTGTTTGATTTGGTGGAATCGGACCCGGGGATTTTATTCGAGGTTTAGGGATTTTCGGAGGATTATTTAACGACGTTGAAGGGCTCGGTCGAGGTTACCTTGAAAGTATTTCCGTGTCGGAGTTAGTTTTTTTTTTTATTACATGTGGGAATAGAGATTTTGTGGGATCGATCTAAATTGGATAGCCCAAATAGTCTTTGTTAGAGATTATTAGGGATCCGGAGCGATCCGGAAGAATCGAAGCTTTGACGATGACTCGGGAGACGAATGGTCCGCGTCTCGACGTTAAAATGTTTCGCGGTGTTATTCGCTTTGAAGATGCGCGGAAAATGGCGACAAAGGGACGGAGGACGCCGGGAATCCGGACAATTTGCCGCGTCAATGGGCTTGAGTTTCTTTACGACGAATCGACTGTCACCGAATAACCTAAAATACAAAAATGGGACGCGCTTTGTTTTCCGAAATAATCGACGCCGCTCGCTTCGCGTTATCGGGAGTAACGGAGGGATTAGGTTACGCGGCGAAGTATGAAATTTAGTAAAAGTACGGGATTCTTTGTTAACGAGAGAATCGAATCGCGACGTTATTCAGTTCCGATGAAAACTCGGCGAATTAAATCGAATTCCCTTGCGCATTCAAAGTGCAAAATTTCAAGATAAAATCGTGAATTTCTATGTAACGAGGTGGATTAAATTGTGTCATTAAATTCGCGTCAAAATTCGCGACCGGGAGAATTGGGTGAGTAAATTCGAAAGAGGGTTTTTTGCCACGTAGAAGAGGAATCCCCACGTGAAATGTGGATTTTCATGAGAGGAGGCAAAGCCTCGGATTGAAAGAGACGATTTGTTTACGCAGAGGGATTTGCCGGAGTGGGTTTACACGGGTAACAAGGGGATCGTTGGGGAAGGCGGATTATTAAAAGCGTACGTAGTAAAATCTTCGGGAAATAAATCCCGAGGTGGATCGGCAGAAATCCAGGGAAACTGGAATATTTTTCCTCAATTTATCTCTTTTTTACATTTCGTAACCGGGGTCATTCTTCGTAAATCGCATTCTCCATCTTTCCGATCGCAATTCCGAATTAGCA